AAGAATGTTGATTGGAAAAAAAGTTTCAGAGAAGGTAGAAAATTATATCTAAATTGACATTTTGAGTATTATGACATTTATTTTGAAAGTGACCATTATTTTATGTTTAATCCAAGGACGGCAGAATCTAAAAGGACTGCTAATCCCTGGATCAGGTGCACGGCCCGTTCATGACGTCACGCATGGGTAAGCATCGACTTTATTCTTCGTGTTTTGTAATGTTGCCACTTTGTGACTTAATAAGGTTCATAATATAAAAGGAAAATCTTGATCGAATTTAGCCGTGAGTTTCTTAAGACGGCTAAATCCGAATGTTTCTAGCTCTAGATGTTAGTTCTACTTTTAGCTCAATAAAAATATACAACAATCTAGCACTGAATAACCATGAAAACTAGAACACTAGACCTAGAAATGGAAACATTTAGATTTAGCCATGCGTGTTCAGACTTAGAAAGTTTTGGGTTTAGCTCTACGCCTTCAGACAGGTAGGACAAAGCAGGTAAATAAAAGTCTTCAACGTGTTCAGTATAACCATAATTCTCACCATACAGGACTAAATCCCTGTAGGCATATCAAACGAAGGCAAAAGGAACCCACATTTAGATAATATAATTTTCTTCCCAAGGGAATCATAGCAAGTTTCAACTCCAAATAAATCCGGACTCTAAATGGTTCCTCAATCGGATCTCCTGGAGGAACTGACTTGAAAGTGAACATGTAAAATCGAAATAGATTAACTCTCTGAAAACCCAAAACAATAGGAACCTGGAATATATGTGGACTAATACAATAACCAAACAATGCTAGCAAGCAGAGTTGTTCAGACTAAGGCGAAAGGACACACAGTTCAGAGAGCTGTGGTTAAGGGTTGCCCACAAGGTGGGGTACTCTCACCGCTTCTCTGGTGCTTAATAGTTGATGATCTCATTCGTGACTTAAATAATAAATATCTCTTTACAGTTGGTTACGCAGACGACGTGGCTATCTTGTCAAGAGGTAAACCTGACAATTTTCTTTGTTACAGAATGCAGCAGGCACCTAAACTCGTTGAACGATGGTGTGAAGAACATACCCTCTCTGTCAATCCTAAAAAGACAGAGACTGTTCTCTTCACTAAACAGAAGAAACTGGGACACTTAACCAATTTCTGCAATAATCCATTAACCTTTGCTCCAGAGGTGAAATATCTGGGTGTTATCTTGGACAAAGGACTAACTTGGACCTCACACATTAGTTGCAAAACCAAAAAAGCAACGATTGTACTGACCCAGTGCCGAAGAGTTATTGGGAATACTTGGGAATTAAATCCGAAAGTTACAATGTGGATCTACACTTCTGTGATAAGACCCATGGTAGCTCACGGAGCCATAGTCTGGTGCTCAGCACTAAAACATGCATATAAAGCTACATTGCTGCATCAATTGCAACGACTGGCCTGCCTGCTAATCACAGGCGCTATGAGATCTACACCTACGATTGCAATGGAGACTATGTTAAACGTGTTGCCCCTAGATATTTTTATCAGGGAGGTGGCAGTGATGGCATTGCTTCGGTTGCGATCAGTAAATAAAAAGCAGGTTGTTAAAATGGGAATAGTCCGGAGCAAGTTCTGGAGCGAGGCTGTTAGTAAACAACCCCTCCTTAAAGCTCGCACAGACTACATTACACCTACTTTCTTAGGCAAGCCACACTTTGGCATTGAAACGATACCCCAGAGCAACTCAAGCTCGGGCAAAACGCTGACCATCTACACTGATGGATCAAAGAAGGCTGGTGGTTCCGGAGCAGGAATCTTCTCGCACGATCTCCAGCTGCACCTTTCCACTTCGTTAGGATCGTATTGCACGACTGCTCAAGCCGAATTAATTGCTATAAACATAGCAGCCGATGCGATTATCGACTCCAAAAAAGTCGGCAGAAACGTTGTAATCTGTACTGATAGCAGACAGGCTATGCTGGCGGTTGGCAGGCATCATACTGCATCATCGTTGGTGAAGTCCTGTCGGCAATCACTCGAAGAGGCAAACGTATACAACAACGTCACGATAAAATGGCGAAAAGGACACATCGGAATTAAAGGACATGATCATGCGGANCGAGCTTTTTGCGATAGATGGGATGGGACGGCAGTAGGTGCCTTTGCTAAGAAAACTCTGCTCTACCCTGACCGGAAGACATCTACTCAGTTTCTGGGAAAATCGAAAAGTGACTTGAGGCTTCTCACCCACTTCCTGACCGGACACTGCAGGTTACGTAAGCACATGTTTTACATGAAGCTGGCGAATACACCCCTCTGTAGAGGGTGTGAAATGGAAGACGAGACGGTAAGTCATATTGTTTGTGACTGTCCAAACCTCGTGTACTTAAGGGAATCTATTTTCGGAGTACCATGGCTCCAAATTTCGGATATAAGGAACATACCTTTCTGTTCTATATTAACGTTCATGAAAAGATTGGGCTGGTTTTCTGACCCTTGAATGAACAGTAAATTGTGGGGACGTACAAAGGGTCCGCTGGGGCCTAAGTGCTGTGAGTAACTCACCCCCACGTGAAACTACATACATACATACAATAACCAGGAAAACTACAAATAATCGAAAATGAGATGTTGAATGAGATGATGGTATTTACTTCTTAGGTTACGCAGAGGATTACACTTTTCTTTGCGTAACCTAAGAAGTGTCAAAATAATAGTGCCAAAGAAACTCCAAATTTTGTTGTGTGAATATAGCACAGTTAATGATAGAATCATACACCTCCGATTCCAGACCTCAGCATACCTTCTGCACATAATACAAGTTTACGCTAAAATTCCATGGCGGAGGAGAAAGTACTAGAAAATTATGAGATTTTAACACTATAGTAGGAGCTACGCACATGGACAAATGGTGAGACAGGTCGTCGGAAGCTTTGGAATGGGAAAAATGAATGAATTTTTTTCTTTATAATCAACACGCATTTCCAGCATCTTCCACGCAGACCTTACACATGGACGTTGCCTAATGCCAGATTTAGAAATCAAAGAGAAACTTTCAGGGATAGAATCGGACCAGTAATGTGGAAATTTTGATAATGTGGGAGAATCGTGGATGAACATAAAGGAGAATCATCCGAACACAACTAGACAATGTTGAAGACAAGGAAATGTAAAGAGTTGCAAACCTTGGATCAGCGACAAAACTTGGGAAGTTATAGAGCAAAGGAAACAGCTAAAAATAAACAGCAAACGTAATTGCATACAGATGTCTACCTAAAAATATTCAGAAAAGATGTCACAAAGTTAAAGATAATAACATCTTCAATATACAGTGTTTCTCAAAAGTAACAGATTAAAGTTTAAATTTTTTCCGCCATTTTTAAACAAGTATGTATTTTTCAAATAACAATCCCCCATTTTTATGTTTTACGCCTAAATTCATTTGAGGTACCTACTGCTAGCTACTGCTAGCCATGCGTAACCATGGCAACCAATTGTTTCAGATATTTTGTTAAGACAATGACTAATTTTTGATATCTGAAACAATTGGTTGCCATGGTTACGCATGGCTACTGCTATTTTTCTATGTCCAATGGATGGAAAATAATGAAACTTTAAGATTACTTTTCTCGAAAATTATCTTATGTAACCAATATTAATATTGATTGTACAGATTCAGAAAAAAAGTCCTTTCATACTTCGTAATAGAAATGAGGCATTGCTCATTTAAAAATAGCGGAAAAAATTTAAAATCTATACTTACATCGTCCATAAACTGTTTTTAATGATTTTACCGAATTTATCCGTTACTTTTGGGAAATCTGTATAATAAGGGACAGAAACACACGCGCAGCGAAAGGAAACCAAAGACCTGTTTCAGAAAGTCAAGCTTCCCACAATAGAATTTGAATAAGGCACTGCAGTAGGAGATGGATATCGAAGCAGTTTTGGATATTGGAAGAAATATTGCACAGAACTGTTCAAGGATCAGCAGATCCTGGGGAAAGAGG